AATCAGCGCCATCTGCCGGGCTGATTTCTGGTGCGATTTTCATGGAGGGCACCACACAAACGTATATAGAAAAATTATTTGAATCGGTCAAGCCGTTTGGGGGGAGTTCAATGACATTCACACGTAGGCATCAGAATTATGAATACAGGGTGTAAGGGACAGCCCTCCACAAATTAACAGGGTGCATTCAGCTCCTTATTCTGAATCATATTCCAGTGATGACAAGATAAAGGCTACGTGGAAAATAATACAGAATGAGACAGGTAGGAAACGATTAAAAAAATCGGAATTTTGTTTAAACACTCAAAGGGGACAGATTTCGTCAAGCAAAGATGTAGCTCAGGAGTTTGAGGCATTTTTTGCTAATATACCTGTCACAACAACTGCTCATTTAGAATCATCAGCCAGACTATCGTTAACTTTGCTTAGAGAAAATGTCAAATCATGCAAAGACGATTTTAGTTTTCATTATACCAATCCTTTAGAGATAATAAAGGTTTTTAAAGAAATCAAGATCAAATCAACTGAGGACCTTTGGGGACTATCGGTGAAAGTATGCGGATCACTTATCCGAACTTTAGCGCCGTATCTGGCTTTGATTTTCAATAAAAGTATAGATGACGGTGTCTTCCCGAACCTAATGAAATACAGTAAAGTTATTCCATTATTCAAAAATGGTGACACTAAGGAACCAAACAACTATAGGCCTGTGTCTGTTCTGCCGGTTCTTAGCAAAGTGTTTGAAAAGTTAATGCTATCTCGGATGCTTCATCACTTTGATAAACATGCCATCTTCCATCACCAACAATACGGTTTCACTAAAGGTCGTTGTACAACTGACGCCGGTGTCACTTTGATAAAGGAGGTATTCGGTGCTTGGGAGGAAGCACAGGATGCTGTTGGTGTCTTTTGCGACCTCTCAAAGGCGTTCGATTGCGTTGATCATGAAACACTCTTGCTGAAATTAGATCATTACGGGATTAGACATACTGCACTCCGTCTACTAAAGTCATATTTAGAGGATAGGCAGCTGAGAGTTCATGTAGGTGGTTCTAACTCCCGGGGCTCTGAGATAAGAATTGGCGTACCGCAAGGTTCAATTTTGGGTCCGTTTCTCTTCTTAGTGTATGTTAATGACTTGCCATTTCTATTTAAAACTGAGCCAAGAATGGTGCTGTTTGCAGATGATACATCATTAATTTTTAGAATAGGTCGACGTGTTAATAATTTTGACGAAGTAAACAGATCCATTCATCAAGTTCATAATTGGTTTACAGTCAATAATTTAGCACTTAACGAGAAAAAAACAAAATGTATTAAATTTAGCTTGCCCAACGTACACAGTAATGATTGTGACATAATTTTAAATGGGCAAAAGTTAGAATTTGTTAACGAGACTATGTTCCTAGGTATTACGCTAGACAATAAACTTCAATGGGGTTCCCACATAAAGACGCTTTCGGGAAGACTGAGCTCAGCTGTTTTTGCAGTTAGACAGATTAGACAGCTCACAGACGTGAACACAGCAAGGCTTGTTTATTTTAGCTATTTTCACAGCATTATGTCGTACGGAATTTTGCTGTGGGGTCGAGCTGCGGAAGTAGATTCAATATTTATTTTGCAAAAGCGGGCTATCCGAGCGATATATAACTTGCCCCCTCGTGAATCTCTGAGAGAACTATTTAAAACGATAAATATCCTAACGGTACCTTGTCAGTTTATATATGAAAACATTATGTACGTAAGGAAAAATTTGCAATTATTTGAAAAAAGAAGCGATAGACATAATTTTAATACAAGAGGCAAAGATAGGCTGGCTGTGCCACGATTCCGTCTGTCCAAAGTACAGAAATCCTTTATGGGGTTCTGTGTAAATTGTTACAATAAAATTCCAAGAAGTGTATTAAATCTTAATGAACGAAAATTTAAAACTTATATTAAACGCGAATTATGTAGACAGGCATACTACAAACTTTCAGATTATATTGAGGACAAGAATGCCTGGCATCATGTTGGTTCGGCTCCACTGGACAATACTCAAATATGTAGTCATTAGTTATTGAAATTCTCAAAATTAATGAAACCTTGAATGAGTTTATATAGAAGCATTCTTTTGGATTGTGAGTACGCATATGTGAGCACCATGTTCGAGACAACAAAGGATTAAAATTTTAATGATAGATAGACCATCATTTGTTCCTTTTTATTAACAACTTGTCTCTGCATTGTTCTCACATAGGGGTACAGTAATGTATAAAAAATGTATTATTTATGAATTGTAAAACAAATATTTTTTTTAAAAGAGTAACGATGGAGTTTCTTGCTCGTTCTTCTCCATTCGAAACTACAATTTGGAACGAGCACCTAGCTTCACTGACGAACAGACTGACAGACTACTATTCTATTTTGACGTTTCAAAAGTACCTATTTATGGTTTATTTGGAATAAATGATTTTGATTTGATTTGATTGAGTGAAAATTCTTTCAGGAAAATTTTCAATTTTTTTTTCGTTTTTTCAGTTCCTAAGCCTCTATTTCAATGTATAATTACATTCTATGTATGAAGAATAACATTAATGTAAATAACACAGCTAAAACAAAAAAATACGCAATGGTTGTGTGAATTCTCTAAAGAACTACGCATGAAATCAGCTGTTCAATTTCTACCTAGCGCGAGTCGTTTGAACTCACCGCACCGCGGTCACGGCGCAGCGGCTCGGCGCCCCACCGCGCCGATCGCCGCGCCGCGCGCCGTAGGTATAATACCTACGATCCCGTCCAACGTACAGAATAGCTGCGTCCCTTTCTATCGCCCCGCCTCCGCGTCTCCCCGTCTCCCCGATTCTTTGCAAAATGTTTGCCCGATTGAACCAGTGTTGCCAATTTTTAACTTTTGTTACCTCAGGTAGTAAACGAAAATGTTAGAACTAGCGAAATTTATCTAAAACTTGAGAACTCCTTTGCTTTCATAATTACGTTGATGAGATTTTCATTAATCAATTAATCAAAATCTTGTCGCGCACATAAATTGAATAAGAAATAAATAAAGATTAGTCTAGTTTTAATTTTAAAGCATTTACAAATACTACCTAATTTATTAATTGATTGTTCTTTTTAAGCGATTACTGGCTAGTTTTTAAACTACTTACAGATTTTTACATGGCTTCACAATAGCCATGAATTGATAGTCGAGCCAGAAATTAAACACAATCTCCCTGGAATGGAAGCACAGCTTTCTATCACACTGCACTTTTATTATTCTAAATTAACTAAACAATGAAATTAGAATTAAATTGATTTAATCAATTCATTTCTCTACAAAAAATAACAGAATGATAAATTACGACCATGCACAATTTTTTATTTTTTACCCCGAAATTTTGTAATTTTCGTGTAATTGGCAACAACAGATTTATGTTTGTGTGTGTCTCATCACATGCAGTCGCCATTGTGCCTTGCTGCGATGTTATTGTTTGTGTACCGCGAGCGTGAGTCGGCACGGATCGCTCGCGCATTCGGCTTAAAAGTTTTGTTATAAGTAGTGTTGTTAAGTTTTATTAGTTATGTAGTGTGTGAAGTGTAGTGAAGTTTTGTTGTAGAAATTGTGCGAAATTACTACCTAGGTACGTTTAGCGCGCGTGATTATGGGGAGATGATAATGTGTTGTAGTAGTGTAGGTATCGTGACCGTCGCCATCCATCAGACTCCAGGATAATTACTGGTGACTATCAACGCTTGCTAGAAAACCAGCCCATTGTTCCCAGACAAAAAGGCGCCGGAAGACCAATACCTACGTGGATTTTGGAATTGGTTCGCTAACGTAAGGAGACGCTACCACTTACCACCAGTGCTTTCCTATTTAAACGTAGTTTAGGTAGGTTTGGACCGCAACCGTGGCCAGCACGATCCCCAGACCTAACCCATTTGGACCCCTTTTTGTGGGGTTACGTAAAAGAAAAAGTGTTTGTGAGTGCGTGTGCAAGTGAGTACGAAATGCGAGACCGCATCACAAATGCTTTCCAGAGCCGGAAACCGGAGCGATTCTAAGGTACCTACGCATTTTTCTTTTTTTATCATTTATCAGTTACCATGTTATGATTGTTAGATTTTTTTTTGTAAGTAATGCAGCTATCTTTTAAATAATAATTTATTGTTATTAAAACGTGGCGCGAGCGCGATTATTACATTGTCTTTTGTAAGTAATGCGGCTATCTTTTAAATAATATTTTATTGTTATTAAAACGTGGCGCGAGCGCGACCGTTTGTCTGAACGTAAGGTCGCGGCGCTGCCCATAGTGTAAAGTAATAATACTAAAAGCGCTGCCGTGCGTGCGTTTGCGGTGGTAGCGATACATTGCGTGTAAGGTAATGAAACAAATCGGTTTAATTGGATTCCCATAACGTTCCTGAAATAATTTCATGTACCGGTCAACTTAAGACGATATACTGAATCCACCCTATCAGTTTGCGGAAGGCTGTCCCTTACACCCTGTATAAAAGATAATGATAAATCTGGAGGAGATGATTTTTATAAAATACATATTCAGAAACTTTGTCGAGAGCAGTTAGCGTGAGGCGAGAAACGACTTCAGAGGCGGCTCTCGTTTGAAAAACTAAATTCAAACAGAAAAATGAACTACGCTACTTTATCTATGAAATGCAAATAATTTGTTTTGTTCCGTCACGTTTCACGAACACAGCGACTCTGACACTGCCGTTCTTCTTTTGAAGAATAATTGGTAATTAAGTTTGACTGCACGGTTGGTGCGAAGGCTGGGCAACTGGCTGCCGTGCAACGTGTCGCTGGTTCGATTCCCGCACGGAATAACTCTTTGTGTAATCCACAAATTGTTGTTCCGGGTCTGGGTGTCATGTGTATGTGAAATTGTATGTTTGTAACCACACCCAGGACACAGAAGAAAATCCTATAGTAGAGCAACGTATTTAAAAGAAAAAAAAATAGTTATAAGTATGTATGAGAACTACGTTTTTTATTTCAGTTTATAAACGGGAAGTCGGTGATGTACCACGAGATCGGCCACTTGCCTTTCGAAGCTGAAATCACGGACTTCGTCAGCTTCAACAGTAGTAACCTGCTAACAGTGGTGGTTGACAACACCCTGCTTAGCGACACTGTGCCTCAAGGTGTTATAAAAAGCGTATATGTTGGGTGAGTCGTTTTTCCTTTACTACGTAAGAAACTAACTCCTCTTAAGGCCGGCAACGCACTGGTTATTTCTTTGGTGTTGTTGATCTCTATGGACTTTCACCTTATCGCTTATCTACCATGTAGATTCTAGTCGTTCGCCTCTGAATGATAAAAAACGATCTAACTAGGAATGGACTCGCATCCAGTACTCCCCTAATGATTTATTTTAATTTATTTTCAATATTTGTTACTATAGCGGCAACAGTTTTTAAGTGTAGGAGAGCCAAGCTTCGGCACGAATGGGTCGGCTCGACCGGAGTGATACCACGGCCTCACAGAATACCGACGTCAAACAACGCGCACAGCGTTGTGTTTCGCCGTGTGAGTGAGTTTACCGGAGGCCCAATCCTTCCCCTCCACCGATCCCTCCCAATCCATAAATCTCCAAAACCCTAATCCCTAAAAGGTCGGCAACGCACTCATAACTCCTCCGTTGCGGGTGTCCATGGGCGGCGTTGATTACTTACCATCAGGTATTCCGTCTGCTCATTTGCCGACTTAATCCATAAAAAAAAAACAGAAAAAAATCATCAGTCCAACAAACCAGAGACACACAGATAGACAGTGGAGTCGTAATAATATAACTATTTAAAATGACAATCAGCAAGGCAGCTTGTGGCGAGCTGTTGGGCACTGGCGACCCCACGGACCTGACTCCCGGGAGGTGTCTTGTTCTTCATCTCCGGTTAGTCCTCGTGACGAGCTGGAGTGAAAACTGATGAAGGACAAGCCCTCTTACCTCATTCTTGCCTTAATTGGCTGGCTTGAGTGGAGATTCGCAAGAGTAGGAGTTGAAGGAGACTCGGGGGAAGGATGTGTCTCAGTAAGGTGCTGGTAGGGGTCTTGACCGTACTTCCGCGATTGCTCTGATAGCCGTGGGATGCCTCTCCTTCCCCAAGCAGCTCAACGTATGTTGCCCCCGTGTCGCTACATGCTAGCGGCCGTTTCCGGGAGCCCATTAATTGAGTTTGCCAGTCACCCCCTGCCTGTTTATCCGTATGTATCAATATTGGTCAGGGGCAGGGGCCATAGTATTTCCATAGTTATCATATCCACCAGAACATAGCAACCCATACCTATAACCCTATAAATTTTTACCACATTTCACAATAGTCCTGCATCAACCGAGGATTGTCCTTGGGTGCACTTTTATAGTGCATACAGGGTGTCTACGCCGGAACGCATCATTCTTCGTCGTGTATGGAACGCATCCGTAGCGCGAGCGAGAGGTTCGAGCTGCGCGCCTTCCGGCCACTGCCATTCTAATAGTCGCGACGAAAACACACTCAATTATTGTAAAACTTATATTATAATTAGTGATTAAAGAAGTACATCTGCAAAGGGATTTACTTATTTATATCGATCACAGGGATAACTGCCGGTTGATGTCCCATCACATTTAGATTAAAACTGTTCAACGGGCCTCTGCGAGTTGGCTTCGGCTCCTTGTACGCCTTCCAAAGTTACGGGACCCTATGGTCCCGTGAAAGAAAAGAACAAACAAAATAATAGTACCTACCGTTGTGACTCCATACGGTTTTCGCTAGTGGTACTTTAGCCACTAGCGAATATCATTATTTTTTTCCATTTACCTACATTGGTCAACTTATAACCACGGAACGTGTCAAGTACCGTCAACGCGGCAATTCCCACACGAAAAAAACCTATAACTACATGTGCGGTGTTTATAAAAACATTCGCTTTACAAGAAAAACGTGAAAACAAAAGCTTTCGTGATAATAATTTTCTTGTTCCTCATCGGTTATCCAGGGGAATATTATAATTACCATCCTAGAAATAAAGGGCTCTCTCCCTTTTACAATGTTATTTGGTATATGAAACATTAACATAGGTATTATAGGTAGACAACACAATGCTATAAGTTACCTTACACTTTCCTTTGTCTACGCACCGTGGGAAGCAAGACAGCTACTTGTTATACAAAAGATTTAAACGCGTCTAAAACACGTTTTTATAAACGCTATCTAAGATAGAAAACTCGTGATTGTCTTCTAAATTTAAAACTTGCATAATTTAAGCTCGTATAACAATAAAATACAATGTATATTTTTTCCACAGACCAAACAAAATTCGTCAAGAACAACAGTATACTTTCGATTTCTACAACTACGCTGGCATTCACCGCACTGTGTTCCTCTACTCCACGCCTCAAGTGTACATTGATGACGTCATCGTTAACACGGATATACAGGGGCATACAGGTGCGTACTTATAGTCTGTGCTATCACGCCTTTTTATTCCCTGTAGGTTAAGCAGAGGTGCTCATCCTAGAATTCACACCCACTTTGGTCTATAATGTTGTGAGTGCGAGGTAATGTCAAAAAGCCAACCCATAGGGGTTGATCCTATTGCGATTTACCTATCACAATTCCAGACTCCGTGCTAATTAATATTGAGAAGTTTTGTATAAGGTCCGAGAACTCTTGCTCAACAGTCGGCAGTCGCACTTGCGACCACCGAATAATTTTTATGGCTATTTGTAACAACAACATTATAATTTTACTAAAAGTGTTTTGCTTTTTAACATTATTCCAGAATTCCCAAGCTATTTATTGTCAAATTGTACCTATGCTTAATTTACAGGTTTTGTTGTTTACAACGTCACACAGAAAGGCGCCACAACAGACAAAGTCCACTGCTTAATACAACTATTTGACAAGAATGATACCCAAGTGGCAGCCTTCAATGAATGTGCTGGACTATTGGAGATTGGAAACGCCAACTTCTGGTGGCCTTACCTGATGCACCCCAACCCTGGATACTTGTACACCATGAAGGTAAAATTTCCCTTTACCACAGATTTTCTTAAGCAGATTTTTTTTTTTTTGAACCTTTAATAGGCGTCTAGCTTTTGAGGAAAAAACTAGGGATGTGGAATTTTTACCCCACTAAGACCTCCCCGGTGGCCACCACCAATACCTGTAAGGGACACCGACACCTCTTAATAGACCTACTCCGGAGTCCCTACAGTGTCTGTTACGGCACATTCATATAGAATACTCACGAACGTCTAAATTAAATTTGAAACTGGACGAATTCTGCATTAAATAGAATATTTTTAGAACATGCAGTCTGGAATTATAGCTAGATTTTAAGATTAATATCCAATATATTGTATTTACAAATTTTCTATTTGTCCACAGGCATCGCTTATTTGTTCCCAAGGAAAGATTCTGGACACTTACTCTCAGAAAATCGGTATCCGGACAATCACGTGGTCAAACACCACCATATATCTGAATGAAAAGCCCCTCTACTTAAAAGGGTTTGGCATGCACGAAGATTCTGATGTAAGTTTATTTCCTTATATTGTGTACTGTACTTCCAAATATCAATTCTTTATCTATACTTCTATACTAATATTATAAAGAGATAAAATTGGTAAGTTTGTATGTTTGTAAGTTTGTATGTAGGGGGTAATCTCTCGACCCGCTGGTCGGATTGTTAAAATTCTTTCATTGATACATAGCTACAATGTTCCTGAGTGCTATAAGGCTATAAAACATCACGCTACGATGAAATAGAGCCGAGCAGCGGGTGAAACCGCGCGAGAATAGCTAGTTAAATATATTCAATTAATAACTAAAAATTATTATTATTATTGTATTTAGATGCTTTGTAAACTGAAGCCTAACATTTACCATTTTCAAAATTTTTTTTATTAATGCAGCTAAGAGGAAAAGGCTGGGATCCTGTACTATGGGTGAAGAATTTCAACCTCATCAAATGGTTGGGAGCCAATGCGTTTCGAACGTCTCATTACCCTTACGCTGAAGAAATCTACCAGCTCGCTGACGAATACGGCATTATGATCATTGATGAATGCCCCAGCGTCGATACTGAGTGAGTGGGCTATTTTTACATTTATATCAAATTTGGTTGCCAATCACCAATACTACAAGACTAGAAGTGTAAATTTCAAAGTCCCACGTTGGGCGCCAATAAAGAAATTTCATTTTTACCGTCACATAGAGAAAAGATCATTTTATTCTGCCAAAACATGTGTAATACAATACTTATTGATTATATCAACATGTTTAATATAACTGGTATAAAAATATTATTTATGAAATGAATCAAGATAAATTTCAACTTTTTGGTGTTTTTTCATTTGCAGTGGATTCTCTGACACATTGCTGGCGAAACACAAGCAATCATTGACAGAACTTATCAGACGCGACAAGAATCACCCCAGTGTGATCATGTGGTCCATCTCCAACGAACCAAGGTCCGCCAACAAATTAGCTGATAGATATTTCGGGTAAGTGTCCCAACTTTTAATATATAATTATGTAATTGAAAGTAGTAGCGTGAAACAACGACAGCGTTGCGTTTCGCCGTGTAAGTGAGGTTACCGGAGGCCCAATCCTTCCCTTCTCCCCAATCCGAAACCCTAATCCCCAAAAGGCCTACAACGCACTCGTTACTCCGTTGGGTGACTCCGATTGGCTACTTTCAGGCAATCCAATAAACAACCCTACCTAATTGTTTTGTTTTTTTTTTTAAGTTGGCCCACATTAGTATTTCCTCCTGTGGCGTGGGTGCGTTTCCAAACATACGATTTCACATACTCATCACACCCAGACCCTTTGACCCAGAAACAAACATTATAGGAAAAGGCATAGTGTATGTGAAGAGTTTGTATTTTTTTCTTGTAAATGCTATATTTTCGTGTTTAGGGAAGTGGTGCGTCACGTTAAGTCTATGGATCTCTCGCGGCCCGTCACTATCGCTATATCTGCCGGTGCTTCGTCTGATAAATCTGTAAGTAAAATAAATATGTTACAATTACTTTACTTACACATTGATATTTTTTAACCGTGCTCAGTCGGGATGGCGGGGCAAGCGTATTAAGGTCGCTCCTCGGCCTAGAGCAGGAGAAGGAACGGGGTGGGGGGTTTAGTCAGTTAAAGTCAGACACACCGTCAAATAAAAAAAGATGTTTGATGTCCATATGTATTGCAAAATGTGCTTTCCTCAAGTCTTCGGCTCAGATAACAGTTACTTAATTGAATAATGCTTGTGATAATGTCAGTAATCAAACAATCTTTCAATTCCAGGGCCGTCACTTAGATATAATCAGTTTCAACCGCTACAATGGATGGTACGCAAACCCTGGCCAGACCGCGCAGATCACCAATAATGTGGTGGAGGAAGCCACTAACTGGCACCGTATACATAATAAGCCCGTCATCATGACTGAATACGGGGCGGATACTATTGCGGGACTGCACTTGGTAAGTCCTCTTACTAAAAAGTCTTTCTTATATTTTTGGAGCAACGAACATGTTTATTCGCGGGCTTAGCAAGCGCTATAATTTACAGCGACCCCGGCCTGGAACAGGAAAAGGAACGGGAAGTCTTTAGTCAGTAAGAGTCTGTGACTCGCTCTCGCCTCACCCTGAGCGATCTAAGACATTTGATGACTTTCTCCTATCAAAAAAGAAGGGCTAGCTAATGACCGTATAAGTAAATAATAATGGCTCAACGAGCCAATAGATCTCAACAGATGGCGTCCAACCAAGCAACCCCCAGGGCAAGCGAAGTCAATTGTTGACTATCCCCTCATAAAAAAATAAGTAATAATTATGCATCTGGTTCCTAAAAGGCAGATTTCACAAGCATCTGATGGTCACAGGTGGTATACTGATTATTGTGGCATAATATCTTACTGAAAACTTATTTTTGTCCATCAGTACCCCGAATACATCTGGTCGGAGGAGTACCAATGTTTGCTGATCTCAGAGCACTTCAAGGCGTTTGATCTCCTACGAAAGGCTGGATTCTTTGCTGGAGAGTTCATATGGAACTTTGCCGACTTCAAAACACCGCAATGTTAGTAAAACCACTTTACTTTTTTCTGTATAAAACATTACGATTTAAACATCTCTCGTTGGTTGTCCAAAATTACAAATTTCAAAATATCTCCTCAAGGGGCAAAAGTAAAGTTGTGATTGTCTTAATATTATTTATTAGGGAGGGTAGGCAAAGGCCCCCAGCGTCGTCGAGATCGTCTGCAGCCACATGTTCGTCACCTCAAATGGTTGCGATGTAAGCGACTGACTTCATAGACGATTGACTATTTGAATGCAGTGCCGTAACTAGCTAAACAAAACTAAGATCTCATGACACAACTGTGCGCTTCCGTAGGTATTCATAGTCACTACCAACATTTAAAGAAGTTCATATTAAGATAGAGATTACTAAGTTAATTAAATATGTTGGTGTGTTTTGGCCTAAAGGCCCAACATGGCCTTATAGTTCAAAGTACCCGAAATAGATAAAGGAAAAAAATCTGCACTTCAAAGTCTCTGAATTCTACACCTGGGCTTTGCCAGCAGCGCCCTAGTTACGGCACTGCCTATATGAATGACTATTTAATATCATGTAGGAAGGGTGTTGGTCTCAGAATGTACTAGGGATGCTTGTGATAAGAATGCATGATATTGAAGAATGAATCTTTTGCATGAGCATAAAACTCTTGTTTGTTAGCATGTAATGATTGTATGAATAAGTAAAGAAATTGAAAAGTTACCAAGATGTCCAAACGATATAATACATAGGTCATTGACATTTTTACAATATTCTGAGTGTAGCTATCAGCCATAAGGCTAAACATTTGAAGCCCAGCTATTACTGTGTCGTGTCGTGTCACATCAGAAGTCTACCGTTTTTATTTATTCACTTTAGTTAGAGACAAACTTCCGTGGCGTACTTATAAAAAACAAAAACAATAAATATTCTCAACTTTTCTGTCTTTTCAGCTCATTCTAACTGTAAGTCTCCCAATTTTCACGCATAATCTTTTCACTTGAATCTTTTCAATTCAAGTCAGGCGGCATATATAGCATGGTAATTTCTTGCACTAGGAATAGAGAAAAACTTTTAGTTAGCGGCATCTATAATTCCATTAGATACTGGATTTTCGCTAAATTCCATAAAGTTTAAATAAAGTATTCTTATATTTTTTTTATTCTTCCAAAACAGCAATCACGCGGGTTGGTGGCAACAAAAAGGGTATATTTACTCGCAGTCGGCAGCCAAAAGCGGCTGCCCACCACTTAAGGTCTCGGTACCACGCACTCGCTACCTCAGACTATGGGGTCATTCTCCCCGAGACAACGTACTACATCAGCGACGCACAGCCCGCCAAGCACGAAGAGCTCTAACCACTGACCTCTGCCATAATAACCACCAAATGTTTGTTACTATAAGGTCTAAAAGTACATAGATTAGAATAATACGTTATTTATAAAATATTTCGCACAGAAAGCATAACACTTGTGGGTTAGGAGAACATTTAGGGCAAAGCATACAAGTAGATAAGTAACTGGCAAATATTTCATAAATAACGATTATTTCGTTAAAGTATAGTTTATTTTGTTTCTAGTTCAAATGTCACACCAAATGGGCAAGCGACTGAATTAAGTAAAAGTACTTGCTCTAAAAGATTTTGTGCCACAATAATGCGATCATGCATTGGTACTTAAGGGAACTTAGCTCATTCTATTAATATCTTAGTTACTTAGATTTCACGAAATGTAAGATAACACGACAAAAATATTCTACTACCTAGATGCCTTATGTATTCAATTAAAATTATTAATTATATTATTTACAAGATAGAAAATATTTTATACAGTACAATGTCATTTTCATTTTGTAAGTAAGAAAATATCTTTAGTCCTATCCTAGATTGTAAACTTCATACTCAAAACAATTCTTACTAATCTCGACCAAGTGTAGATTCCACAGAAATGATGAATGTGATATAATTTCTGCAAAAGACGAATAATTAATATTTCCGTTTAACATTGGTCCTCACAAATAGATATGTAAATCCATACATAGGGACCTAAACTTACATTATGTTATGCCTAATTAACTTTTGTCGTTGTATGCAATGTGTGTGGTACAACTTTAAATATGTTACATATAATATAATTATCGTTAATTTAGTAATAAAAATATCATAAATAAAATGTAAATATTTATTGTAAAATGCAAATAAAGTACAAAATTAAAGCAATCGTTTTTTCCCTGAACAAAAACACCCTATTTAGTACCTACCTTTCATTCCTGATGTAAACCTGATGTTTAAAAGGTAATTGTGTGTTTTTTAACATACAGTATCATGCAATATAAGTAGTAACATCGATAAATAATAGGTTATCCAATAGGCTATGAGCATAATATGAACATACCTAAAGGACCGAAGGGGAAGAAATTAAGTAAATAACCCAAACTCTAGCACTGCGTCAAATTATCAGTACTCCAAATAAATTAACAAATTCTAAGGTCCTCACCAATGATATTATATATTAACAGATATGTTATAAGCGCGCAAAAGTGAAGACTCGAAAAGGATACAATAGTATGCAAGTGCAATTAGCCTCTCTTAGAATAATGTTTGTTTACGTTGAGTAGGTACGTAGGTAATTGATAACAATAGCTAATTCATTGTTTCTTGTTTTATTTATCAAAGGTATATCACTATCCTATCTTATATATTATCTACTATCCTTTTACTACAATTTTAACTTGTAGTAACTTGTAGTACCACATCTATCACGCTTGGCGCGGAACACATTTTTTGTGCGTTTTGTGAGGGTATAACATATCTGTGTTAATATAATATCATTGGTCCTCACATACTTACTTAGTTTACCACACCAATAAATGACTAAATATTATACTTAGGTACGTTATTGAATTCCTACTATTGACGACATCATATTTTGAGAGTCCAAAATGCCTTCAAAAACAAACATTTGTGGCCTGCAGTTTTATTGCCGCCTTTTTTCTGCGGAGCCATGGTATCACTCCGGTCAAGCAAGCCGACGACACATTGGTGCCGACTGCCGAAGCATGGCTCTCCCACACAATATAGTATATTATAGTTAGTACCTACAAAATTTTGTCCTAAATATTATCTGACAATATGCTGTGCACCTGCTTTATTCAAATCAAAACAATGAATTTAGATTATAATAATTGTACCTTAAGAATTTTTTCTCTCTAGTAGGTAAGTAAGTACCTTTATTAAATTAATTATAGTACTTTATAGGTACAGTCTTTTGTTGATATTAGAAATAGTTTTATTACAGACAGATATGAACTGGTTTAATATACATAGCCTGGCCATAAATACTGTTACAATTAAAAATAAACAAAATATTACATTTGAATTTGGAATCTGTCATTTTTATATAATTTTTCATTGTGTTTTCTTATTTTGGCGCCAATAAATTGTTCAATATTTTGCGATATTAAAATGGAGTGGGGTGATAAAGAGAACCGAATCGCTGTGATTGCATTACACAAAGTGGGTATGGAGCCAAATGCAATTTTTAAAACTCTCCACACGCTCGGCATTAGTCAAATTTTTGTGTACCGGGCTATTAATAGGTACAATGAGACCTCCTCTGTTTGTGACAGTAAAAGATCAGGCCGTCCACGTAGTGTTCGTACGAAAAAGGTGGTCAAAGCAGTAAGGGAAATAATTCGAAGAGATCCTGTCCGAAAGCAAAAGATTTTATCTCGGAAGATGAAGATAGCACCTAGAACCATGTCGCGTATTTTAAAAGACGACTTAGGACTTGCAGCGATAATTTAAAAAAGAATAGGGTGATAAAATCTAAACAACTACTGAAGCGGTACGCAGAGGGAGGTCACAGAAAAATTTTGTTTACGGATGAGAATTTTCACAATTGAGCAACATTTTAACAAACAAAATGACCGTATTTAAGCTCAAAGCTCTAAGGAAGCTTCTCAATTAGTCGACAGAGTGCAACGTGGGCATTATCCGACTTCAGTGATGGTTTGGTGGGGTGTTAGCTATGAAGGAGTGACTGAGCCATACTTTTGCGAAAAAGTTTCAAAACATCGGCACAAGTGTATCAAAATATTATTCTTGAGAAGGTAGTTAAGCCCCTTAACAACACCATGTTCAATAACCAGCAATGGTCCTTCAAGCAAGACTCGGCGCCGGGTCATAAAGCTCGGTCCACGCAGTCTTGGTTAGAAACGAACGTTTCCGACTTCATCAGAGCTGAAGACTGGCCGTCGTCTAGTCCCGATCTTAATCCGCTGGATTATAATTTATGGTCAGTTTTAGAGAGTAGGGCTTGCTCTAAACGTCATGATAATTTGGACTCCCTAAAACAATCCATACGATTGGCAGTGAAGAATTTTCCCATGGAAAGAGGGCGTGCTTCTATTGATAACTGGCCTCAACGTTTAAAGGACTGTATTGCAGCCAATGGAGACTACTTCGAATAAGCTTTTTATGTTTTAAATTGTTTTATATTTATGTATTAAACACACTATTATTTTACATACTGTAAAAGTAATAAATGTTATTTGCAATAGAAAAAATATTTTTTTTATTTGTTACAGTATTTATGGCTAGACTAGGTATATGATGGGTATTTTTATAGCTGGCTTTTTATGGTGCCTGTCATGCTCGGGAGCATGTAACTCACAACAATAATAAAGAAATATTTTTCTGAAAGCTATGTAATGAACGACAAACAATTACACCTTATGAGTGCAAGCCCGCATGAACATAAATCTGACGCCGACGTTTCTTCTTTCGGTTATGTCGCAAAAGCTATGGTGGCAAAACTATAAAAAGTATACTTGCCAGTCTTGACCAAAGATATTACATAGACAATAAATGTCTTGACACTGACGTAAAATTTTTTATAACGTAAGTGTCAGTGTCATAAACACGTGTGGTGTGATTATTATTTGTTTGTTGTTTTTTATTATTTTGTTTTAATGTGTGCTAGTCTTAGCAAAGTTTGTAAGCAAATAATCATAAATTACTGCAGCTATAATAGATAATAGTAGATAAGCGAAAAATATTAGTTTCTGTTAAAATGAGTTGCACACACTGTGAACAAATTGCAAAATATAAATGCCCCGTGTGTAGAGTGCCATAGTAAGTAGAAAATGAAGTTTAGTTTTGAACTACTAAAAAGATGTTATAGTAATCGTATTATAATATTCCAGTTGCTCGGTGCCGTGTTATAAACTTCACAAACAAAGTCCTTGCACTCCACCAGAAGAGCCACCGAAAGAAACAAGTTACTCCAATACTAGAGAAATAGAATATGATTACCCTACGGAAGACACAGTGCCAGTTGAAAAGTTAAAATTACTAGGTAAGTGAGTACCATGGTATTTTTTTACCATACAAGTATATATAACACTAGCATCTGCCAACAACTTCACCCGCAGTACTAGGATAAAAAGTATGTAATTTTGTATATCCAAAGTATTATCTATTGAATTCCAATTCATTTTACACAAAAGAGTAAGAAACATCCCTCCATTCATGTTTCCATCCTTTTACATTTGCAATGTTTGTATGTTGTTGCCATTATTTAATGGAACTAGTGTTCATCTGAATGTTGAAAAATTAATATATCTGCTGAACAGTTTTGTCAAAAGCCATAAAAACACACACCATTATTTTTTAATAACTATCCCAGATGCTTGAATTTCGTCCTCTAAAACTCTAAACACACATTTCTGTAATACTGTGAATATAAATAATATCTTAAAAATTCTTTGCTAATAATTAGTAAAATTTTTCAGAACAATCAACAGAGTTGAAGAAATGCTTAGAGAATCCTCATGTGAGAGAGATATTAGATATATTGGATAATTCTCCATATCCAGATGAATTGATGAAGAAATATATGCAGGAGCCCATTTTCACAGAATTTGTTGATGCGTGTTTGAAAGTTGTACAGCCACAAAGTGATGATGACAAATAAGAATATGAAATTAAATTAAAATTATTTATAAGACAAAATACAAACTAATTATTTCACCCCATTACAGAATAATTTCTATATTAATTTCCACTTATCCTTCCCAGGAAGTTGTTCTAATGCAATTTAAACTACTAATAAAACTTGATGAGAAAAAGTTTGATAAATATAAAAAGTGTACCACAACATAATCATTGCCCTTGACATTTTATTTTGTCTAATATGCTATTATTACAACAAATCAAAGACTAAAAAAAGATAATAAAATTAAATCATGACAATCTAATAGCAAAGGAAAAATTACTATGAAATATACCTATAATAATTGTTAATGTTCCAACTCTAGAATGCAGTTATTTGCCTTGTAAGTATCTTATTCACTTTTGATAATTTTTAAACCTAAATTAATCTTAAAAACCCTCCTATTACATTTCCATATTAAGTTTACTTTGTCAGCTCAGCTTTCATCTGCTCAAAGGTTAAATGAAATTACAAATAAAACCATTTGATACAAAAAATCAATCATTTTATTAATGCATCAAATGAATTGTTAATTTCAATACAAAAATACATCCTAATCAAACTCGCCCAATGCAGCTCTCAGGTAATTTTCAAATTCTAATGATTTCTTCTTCTCTTCCTCTATTTGGCGTTCCAGCTGTTCGACAGCTTCTGCACAATCATTGTACTTGGTTATATCTTTATCTTTCTCCTTTAGACTTTCATCAACTAAAGTGCGATCCTTGTCTTCTAACATAAGGTAATCTAGTGAATCTAGTTCTATTTTACGTCGCTTGGCTTCAATATAAAAATCAATATCATCTTCATACTCTATAGCTTTGTGCTTCATTTCACTTATAGCGCTTATCTCATAAATCCATAATGCACTGCGATAATTTTCTAAAGCAGGTTTCTCATAAATAGCAAATCTATTTTCAAAATTATTCAGTCTATTAATTTTTTCGTAAACAATTATGTTCATAAAGTCTATGAGATTATAGTGAGCAAAATATTTGTTGAAATCTTCACATGGCATGCTTATGTCTGAAAGTTCTTTAGGTAGCACAGCTACTACCCTACATACCACTTCTTCTGGGTTTTCAAACCAACCTATTTGGTTGCAGTAGCTATTCATCTGCTCCTGCATGCTTATTGCATTCAGTGGTCTAAAATTCAGTGATGGGTCTGGCAATTTAAGTTGGTTCATGATCCTTTTAATTGCCGAAATGTTATCTGAAGTTTTCGCACTACTTGGTATAAACTCGTATGGTTTTGGATAAGGAGATGTAGTGTCCAAGTAAGGTTGAAACTCCAAAGGAAATGATGAATAATTAAATAAATCTTCATTTGTGATGACACTTGTCAGATTATCCACAGCAGCGTTGTAACATTTCACCAATTTGTATAGGTCTTTAATAACAGTGGACATACGCGTATCTTTTTCCAACCTCAATCTGCACCATATCTCATTACCAAGGTACCTCTGGCAAATAGATTTCAAGTGATCGATTTCTAGTGGTGGTATCTTTGGATATTTCTTCGCCAACCATTTCATTGCACTTTTAGAAGACACATTCAAAGAATCGAATACATTTTGTGAATCTATTACAAAGATCTTATATGCTGATATTACATTGTTCCTTACAAGATTTGACAAATTTGTATCTAATTGCAGTTGCACATCATCCAGTTCCGGAATTATAACGGCGACTGGGACCACTTGGTATGGGTATTTGTGATTGAGTGTAACATTTATTGTTTCAATGAGATCATTGTCAAATTCTGTTGCATAGAACAGAAGGGCATTTGCACCTTCCATGGCCTCTGTACCATCGATTCCTTTATCTCGGCCTGTTAAACTAACAGATATAGCAAAGTCCATCAAATGATTCCATGACTGTTTACTTACATGCATCAGGGTATTAGATACTTCATGTTGTTTGTGATCACTGAAAACATCGAACAACCATTTTTCAATGTTTATCTTACGATGTAGCCATTTGTTAGCTCCAGGAGAAACCACAGCTACTTTCCAAAAGAAACATTTATCATATGGATAACTTATTTGCTTCATTCTCTTCAGCAGAGGTGATCTTATGATTTCCATAATATTATATTTTTCGGGGGTAGGTAATTGTCGAAGCTCTCCAGCAAATTTATAGCCTCTGTGAATAGCATTCATGTTGCTCAGAGCGGCATTTTGAACCAACCGTTTCAAATATGAAGCTTCTTCCAATGGTGTATGTTGAGGTAGCCAAACAGGCGTGTCTTCTAATAAACTTCGTCTTTTAATGTTCCTTGCATAATGTTTCCTCCATACATAAAACCATTTTCTCATAATTCGTTTGGTTAAAAATATTTCGGCTTTCAATTCTGACTCACAAATCTCGGTAGACATATTCAATAATATTTCATCGCTTACTGTATTTGCAAACCGCATCAAACTGTCAAACTTGTCCAATTCCTCACTCAATATACTAGTAACGGTGGGATTGTTAACTTCATCGATTAATTCTTCAACAAGTTCTATTGACTCTTTTTCAACTCTTTCCTTAAACAATTTTTCTTCTTCAGCTTTTCGTTTCAATTCTGCCCTCCTCTCTTCTTCTAGTTTTCTCTTTAGCTCCTCTTGTTTTCTTAGTTCTTCTTTTCTTCGTTGTTCCTCCTGCAGGCGAAGCTCTTCTTGTCTTTTTCGCGCTTCTTCCTGTCTTTTCCGGGCTTCTTCTTTGCGTCTTTCTTCTTCTTGGCGCTGCAGTTCCTGTTTTCTCATTTCTTCCTCCTGTCTTATTTTTTCTTGCAAATGCCTTTCTTCTTCCTTTCTTATTCTCTCAGCATTAAGACGTTGAAGTTCAGCCTGTTTTTGTTCTTCGTCCTCATTTTGATTGAAATCGTAAATCGAATGAGCTTCATTTGTTATAGAACTCAGTATATTATCTGCTACAGTCTGAGCTTTGTTTTTACTTGGAAATATAGAATAGTTCTTAGTATCAGTCCCATTTGGTGGTAAAATAGCACTTTTGAAAACGCTAGTTGGAGACAACTTACCAGCTGTAGCTTCACCATTAGTAAATATTGAATTAGGTTTTGTCTGATCTTCAGAATTAGAAGGTTTGGCAAAAACATTCGTTTGTTTACCAAAACCACCAAATATGCTTGGAGGCTTTTCTTCACTTGCTGAAGGTGGAACAGGCTTATTAAATATGTTTCCTCCTTTTTCAAAACCGCCTGCATCGGGTTTAGTGGCAAATATACTTTTGTTGGTAAACAATGATTGTTTTTGGCCACTTTTATCTTCATTGGGCGCAAACAAATTTTTGGATGCTGTGCCAGTAAACAGCCCTGAAGGCTTTACTTGTGTTTGCGGTTGGAAAACTGAATTTTCCTCTGGTTTTTTAAATAAGTTCTTATCATCTATCTTCCCTCTAAACACAGGCTGGGCATTTGGAACTTTGTTAATTTTGCCAAATATGTTATTTGTCTCTGGGACACTGGTGGCTTCGAACAAGCGTTTGACTGTTTCTTTTCCAGTAAATAAATTCGTTACTGGCGTTTCCTGAGGTTTAGAAAAGGAAAATATGCTTTTAGTATCCTCACTGAATATTTTTTCAGGAGAATTCTTTATGATGTCTGATGATGCGACTGGGATCGCAGGTTTAAACAAAAATGGTTTATTTTCAGTGGATGGTGGCGGTTTCATAAAGATTGGATTAGCAGGTGCACTGAATTTAGGCACCTGCTTAGGGCTCGTAGATATAATATCTGGTTTAGCGAAAACATTAATTTTGTTCTCTGGGGGTTTATCCATAACAATTGCTTTTCCTTGACATAGCTTTTGAATCTCTGCCTTTAGAGATTGTATATCTTTGTTGCTATCATTCAAGGTGTTGTAGCCTTGGTCATCAGCAGTTAGCGCACTTTCTTTTAATCTGCCATCGGAATTAAAACTTGTATATAAAGTGTGACGACTATATCCGGCATCCGGGAGTTGTCCACCAGCTATTATTTCACCAACTGAAAGTTTTCTTTTAGATTCAATAAGGTTAATGGCTCTTGAGATGGGGTAAGGATCACTGTCTTCAATGAACTGATTTCTATCCAGTATGATTGTCACTTCGCCGTCACTGTCCTCAGTTCTAGCGAATCTCAGCCCATAGTGATTGATGAATGATTTCAAATTCTCTATGGTTTCGAATGCAAGTGAATTCATCATATCCTCGGCGGGGTATCGAGACCCTCCTCTAGGAGCGTACGCTTTGACTATTCTAGCGAGAGCTCGCGCACGAACATCATTGAAGTACCGCAGCAGAATACACGCTTGAAGGTAGTTCGCTTCTTCTTTCACTAGTCGGAAGAATCTCACGTAGTTATTATTGTCAATAGCATTGAATACTTTGATTGCGAAGATTATAGGTTTTGATTTCTGTATTTCTATTGGCAACTGTTTGATCTGCAAAAAATATTTATTTCTTTTTATTTAAAACATTCAATAAATGGACCAGTTAAATGATTTTCTGGGCATAATGTATAAACTGACCTCCCACCAGAAATTTGCATCACCTAAGTTGAGTAGAGCGACATATCCTCTAAACTCTGCTTCTCTTGGTTTTTGTTCTGGGCCCACATCAGCATACATGTGTTTTAATGTTTGTAGGCATTTTGTGAGATTGTCAGTGTTCAGTTTTTGGTCGAACTGAGTATGTTCGAGGTCCGCAAGCCGTGCAGCGCAGTGTGCATGAAATCGTGCGCACATTTCCACCAAACAAATCGACTCTGAAAATAAAAAAACAAAGTATACAAGGTAACTCTACATGTTCTTGACCAGTCACAAGTTGCGTTTATTCTTTTTAAATGTACCTGCACAACACAGCGCCTGCTGGGTTATATCCTTTCTGATGCCACGAAGCCGATCCCACATGAAATGGAACCAATCGGCCAACGAGACCTGAAAGAAATATGCATCATAATGTATAATCCAAATTGTAAACTATGCTACCCCATATAGGTTTTAGGATAACATTATTATTAAATTACCTGTCGTTTAGTATCAGCGATTTCATGCAACAGATAAGCGCAGGTGCGCATGAGCACTCCTGCTGGCCTCAATTCATAACACATTGGTATCTCCTGGTCGGCTGAACTCCGGCTGTATTGTTTCACGGCCCGGCACGGCTCCAACTCGCCATCGGAATCCAACACGGTTTCTAGAGTCATTACCTGGAAACATTTCATTATAATTAGGCATGATTACATGTTACTAATCACTTTTATATAAGAAAAAGTTCTGTCTTTACCTGGTGTTCTGATTGCCTTTGTAATAATTCCTTTTCTGGACACATATCCTGACAAGTTCCAATAGTGGCGCCTCCTACTTTAATACGGGAACCAGCACCGCCCCAAGCACGCAAGATTCTTAAATAGAAGAAGTTACATACAGTACAATGATTATACAACACAATATAATTTAAAATTGTTTGAAATGATCCACATAGGTAAACAAATCTATTTTCATAAAAAACAAGTAGTTTTACTATCAGTGTCATTTTAGCCTTCTTGTTATCTACCAATGAATCACTTGATTTGTCAATATCAATAAATACATACATGTCCAGACAAGTTACATCTTTTATATGATTGTTTGATAAGTAGCACCAAATCATAGATCAAACTTAACCGTAAATAAGTGTCCTGTAAATACCTGTCTCTTGCATCCAATATTCTCCATTTATCATCTGGAGTGGTTGATATCTTTGAGCGCAGTTGAAACAGTTCTGTGGCAGCTTCTGCAGTAGTCATGGTTGTTTGTGTAGTCACCACCGCCACTGGGGGTTCCACCACACTGACTGGCTGTGTACTGAAACAGGGATATAGTAAAAGATTGGCAGCAGATTTTTCTTTAATGGTCTTTGGTCTGCAGTCAATAACTTCAAGATATATAGGCATCACATGTAAACAGTTTGACCAACTCTGAGAATCTGTTTACACATGATGCAATTACCTAGGGAAATAGAAATACATTTTAAAAAGAGGAGACTAATTCAAAATTTCCCAAAGACTTGTGAATTGATCTTTTAGGAAATTAGAGGGGGCAAGGGGAGGTAGTTGGACACCATTGGAAAGCAGTGACAGGTCATACTGAGTATGTAGAGCAATCTGTTATATAATACTTTGTAGAATAATTAAATTATCCTTACACAACAGGCTTCTTTGCTCGAATTGGAACAGTTTTCTTTATTGGCATTTGCTTTAAAGGTTTTGCTGTTATTCTCATTTTAGGTTTTGGTTCAGGTTCAACATCCATTGCTGGAAATTAAGTATAAATATCAACAATCATATCATAGGCAACAATAAATAAATTATTTTAATTATTTCTCATAGACAGATCATACATCTCTACAAAGATACAATTAAAAAGGATAATACAAAAAGTAAATATACTTACATTTCTGTCGAGTCACTCTGTATGTTGGAGTAGCACCCATAGCAGACAGTTCCTCCTCAACATCTGAATCAGGGACCCAGTCTGGATCATCTTCTTTCTTAGTGCTGCTTCGTCTCCTCCTGAAATAAAATATTAATCATAAATGTTAAGGTGAAAAGAATATTATTCATAATCTAAAATAGAACAATTAAGTAGGCATGCTTACATCTTAGCCTTACTGCGAGTGACATCAAACATGAATCCATCATAAGCACCAGCATTCAGCACAGCTTTTTCTATGGAACTTGGTTGATCATATTCAATAATACACATATGCCGCTTAGGTACCAATCTTATCTTCTGCACCCGGCCAAACTTGCTAAAGTGTTTTTTGGCTGCAGCGCCTTCTAATAGAGAATCCGGAACATTTGTACACCTTAAATAGCATACAAGGGTATATGAAATATACAGGAAATGATTACTTCTTACTGTGATAAACATAAATACACTACGGAGTAGGAAAAATTAATTATGATCACTAAAAAGTGTTTATTTTACAAGAATTTCACATGGAATCTACACGGGTTGTAATATAATTATGTTGTTAGATAACGATATTTCTAAACTATTATTGACATCAAGTCAGGTTTAACAACAAATGAAATGACTCACGTGATTGAGGTTTTCGGATTGACGACAAACTCTTGTGGACTCTTTAGCTTTTTACGAGGGCTGGTAGCAGCTTGCATGTTTAATCCTCGTTTTCCTTCAAAACACCATTAGAATACAATGTTTTACATTATTTTTCGCAGGTCGCCAACGAAACACACGAGGTCATAGCATCGTTTTGATACTACAACAAATACAAAATCCTCAAACAATTTTATTATGAAACTAAATGTTGAATTTATTAATTTGGGAATGTCTCAAGTATAATAGAAACAAAACAAAATACTGGGCACATACTCAAAATGTATCAAAATAGGGAGCACTGACAAATTGACGAATTACATTTGATTTGACAATATTGTATGATGACAGGTAGCGTCGTATCTTGTTTGTTAGAATTTGACAAGTCGTTTGACAGTAAGGGGCTGCTATTAAAATCCATTTGATTTCTGACATTTGGTTTTGGTTTTTAACACGAACATAGTCGAATTTTTACACATCTAAATTATAGGACGTACAATATTCTACTAAGCAATATCGGTATTAAAAAATAAAAATATTAAAAAGACAGTAGTGCAGTCACAACTTAAAGCAATCACGTCTTTCATGCAATAGTTACTTTTCTTATTAAACCGATAGATGTCAGTAAGATCATACCATGACGAAAACACTCAAACCCAATTTAAAAAAAAGATAAATAAATTTTAATCGGATTCTGAGTCGTTGTAATTCAAAATAATAAATAAAACGAATAAAAATAAATTATATTTTTCAAAATACAAAAGAGTTAATATTATGTTTGCCCATTTTTATTCTATTTTTTGTTTTGCATAGTGTTCGCGAGCACACGTGCTTGTACACATTACTTTCGAGAAAGGTAAGTTATTATACAAATGCGCATGTAAGTAATATTATAGCTTTATTACTATTAAAAACTCTCTGTTCAAGGGTGGATGGGAAGGTGATATATTTTTTATATAAAAAAAAATATTTTTATGCTACTAGAACTTTTCTTAACAACTGTTTCGTAACGTTCCAATTGAATACCTTAGTTTAATAAAAATAAACTGCTGGCCGTTTTTATCCAACGAAATTACAAATTCATTACGTAGTTATAACCAATTGGAATGAAGTTATTAAAAGGTAATTTAATTTTAACCCGAAATGGTCCGCACCTCCCTGGTATATCCTATGCAATAGGTACTTAAGGAGGTTCACCTATATGAACATAGGTAGTTCTCTACGATTTTTGTCGACGTTACCTACATTTTTATTATTTGAAAAAATTACATTCGTGAGCTGCTCGCTTTATAATTACCATCATCGTACAATTACAAAAAATATCGTAACATACCTAACATAACTAGTTAAAAGTGGGTGTTACATACTTACGTAAGTATGGGATATGTGCACCACTTTTTTTATATTTGCCCCGCAACCCCGGCTGAACATTAGCCCCATAGGGCCCCGTCTGTGGTGGTCTATAGGCAACCAACCAACGCGCCATACGCTCCTGATTCTTTTCCGGCGGCGAGCTACCCTTGCTTGCGCCGTACCTCTTCATTGGTTAAAAGGTGCGACGTTTCATAATTAAGTTGTTCAGGTGCTAGAAAGGCTTAAATATTTGTAGAAAACAAGTTCGGTATCGACAACAGACTTAAGCGTAATAGACCTAGAATCGTGTGCACTGGCTTCTAGTCATATTATGTGACGACAATCGTGCTGTGACCGCAGATGATGTAACCACATTCCGTCGCGCAGAACGAGCGCCGTAGTTCCGGATAGTGCCGGATGTACCTGTCACTTGTCACTTTCTAGCCATGTAACGTTATTTTGGCAATTTCGGCCTACTGGGCAGTAGGCCATTTTAGCAACCGCAGATGGCTAAAATGGCAAATGGATGGGAGTAAAGGTACAACCTTTTTATTTGGAGGGCGGAAATCATGAAATTGATTCTGGCTGGGGCAAGATAGAATGTCAGACTCTTTGGACTAAAAACTGTCCCGCTCTTTCTCCTGCTACGGGCCGGGACACCGGTACATTAAGTATTGCTCTGGCACCCGCAACCTCGTAACCGTACCTATACGTGTCCCTAGACGTTATTTGGATAGCGTCTAGGGAGGGACACGTCGATCCTACGTCGACCCTACGTCGTCCCTAGACGTCATTGGTGACGTAAGTACTTACCTTTTTTTGCTGTAAATACACGTACCGACATTTCATAAAATACAAATAGAAAGGTTTTTTATTTCTAGTTTTCATTTTTGCTTTCTAAAGACAGCGCTCCTGAATTCCCCATTGTACTTTTCAGCATCCTATTATTTAATAATGTTAAATGGGAATATTGCTGAGATCTGTGACCCACCATCCACTTATGATACGAATGTTGTCTAGTACTTTTCCAGTATAGGAAAGTTTCTTAATTACTTTATAAAGACATAGTAAAACACTAACTTTTTCAAAGTTTTAAATAATTACCTACAATTCTTGCAAGTATGCTCAATATCTATATCTTTCTAAAGAGGTACACATTGTGTGAGAGCTTTGTACGCAGCAAAAATAGGTTGTCTCGATCAGAGTGATACCATGGCATCACAGAAAATCGGCATGAAACAACTATACCATCGTGTTTCGCCGTGTGGCTGAGGTAACCGGAGGCCCAATCCTTCCCGTCCTCCAATCCCTCTCGGAAAACCTAATAACTAAAATACATGTATTGCACGCGAAACTCCATGTTGCCATCACTAGGGTGTCCATGGGCGGCACTACATAGAAAAACAATAATGAAATCTTTTATCCTCACATATCTACATAAAAATTTTATCAAATAAAAACATTCCCCAAACCATACAAAAAACTAGTAGCTATTAGTTGCGATCAAGTCAAAAATGAAAATAACCATTATAAAACAAAACAAAACTAGACTATTATTACTTTAACACTCACTTATGAACAAAAACAGGAATGGACCCAATGTTGAACGCTGTGGCACCTGCATTAGCTTGGCTTGATAATATGGTCTATTTACCTATATATTGAACGACTAAAGGAAAAATGCTAAAAAACAGCTATACATAGGATTTGTAATTAATAGTTTATTTTGTGTTACCTAGTATTGCCTAGATTTGTACACCTCCTGGTCCATGCAGTTTTGGTATTGTTGACGATTTTGACAAAATAGTTTAAACACATTTATTACTCACACCAACCTCTAGGCTCTTAGCTACATGTAACTCTGAAATATATATAAAAATTAAGCAAAACTGGGTAACTGGGTAATAAGTCTTGTTGATTAAGTAAGAATTGCGTCGGGATCAGCGCAATTCATATGTTTATTACAAAATGTTTATTCTACATAAGTCTACTGGAACTTTAAAATTATCCATCGAGATTTCCATCCATCGATGAAATCGAATTATAATAGTCCATAATTGGAGTAGGTAGGAGCTGTTTAGGCGTTCCGATGGTGCCGAGTTCGGTGATTCACCTCGGTGTGACGTCACCGCTATAAATTCGGGTGTCACATTCCGCTGGCAAGCGCATGCGGTTATATAAAAGAAAGTGGCGCGGCCGCGCGGCGACCTTGCTCGGTGAAAGGCGTGGCGCAAGTGGCACAGCCGGAACTCGCTCTTCCCACGGACCGATCCCGCGCCTCTCGCCCGCCATCGCCATGCCGTTATGCGCTCGCGCAACTTTCGGTAACCGGTTTGGTGTTGGCGAAAAAAATGCACTAGGCACGATTGGACCGGTGCCAGTTTAGAAGATTCGGAGCGATGAACATAAAATACGGAATGTTGCAAATGATTTATATGATAGTCCACGCGAAACTATCATCTTAAAACATCTTTTCTTTCAGAAAATGTCTCATCAACGACACACACCACAAAAATCTTTCAGGTGCCTATTTGCCCCTTTTTCAACAGAATAATAATCCATGGTTTGCTTGTAGCTTAAATTATTGATAAGTGCTCATGGAATCTCTCTCTCTCAAAGATCATGGAAAACGCGTAGCTCAAACTATTAGATCTGACAAAATTAAACACGTCATCTGTAATACATCGATCACACGCTTTCGTGTAAAGGTGCCGATAAATTGAAAATTATTTGGTTGAAATAAAACCTTCACGGATATGCAGTCAATGAGAGAAATCTGCAGCGACCTTGGAGTGTTGCGAAATGCTCAATGAAACACAGTTTAGTGGTTGTGACAAGAACTTGTTAGCAGCATGATAATTTGGCAATGATAACGCAGACAGATTGATATGGATACTACTTAGAGTGTGAATAAAATAAAAGGAGATGATACTACTAGATTTTCTTGCGATGCGATAATGCGTTTATCTACCTTTCCTAGTCCTTTAGATTTTAAATTAACTGAAAGTAAAATAATTAGACATTATCATTGTTTATACGTTTTTACTTTAAAACACTTAATTACATTTGAATTTCCTGCAAAGCCAAATAAATACTCTGTGTATTTGTTTGCTAACAATAAACAATACTCACACCACAAAAAGAAGACAAAAACATGCCTAAGTAAGTAAGCAGAAATTACTTTCAAATCTTTTGCCTGTACGCCAAAACGCGTCACTGTTCACAGTTTATAGGCGAGTTAAGTTTTCCTGTTTACACTACGCTACCAAACATTGCGACTATGATGCCTAACCCCCTGGCCACAGCCAAGAGCGGCGTGGATTGCGGCGCGGTTTGAGACGCGGCAAGCGGTGAGCGGCGAAAACAAATGGTAGACAACTTATGAAGTATGCCACAGCTAACGGCGACGCGCAGCGCGGCGCGACTTGCGGCGCGGGGAGAGACGCGCGGTACACGGCGGCGACGGGCTGCGCGGTGTGCGAGTGAAACAAATGTACTAGCGAGTATCGAGGCGGCCACAGCTCAGAGCGGCGCGGGCGGTGGCATCGGTGGACGCATTCAGGCATCGCACGACCGAAACAAATAATTTTGTTTCTACCGCGCGTTTTTAACTTAAAATAATGAATGTGGAACAATTTATTAGTGAAATACTGAGTAGACCCGCAATATGGATGTCAAAACATCCACATCATAAATATAGGCATGTTGTAAAAAAATTGTGGGACGAAATAAAACAACAATTTCCTGGTAGTAGTGGTAAGTATTTATTACCTATTTTTTACGAGTAATTAAACAAGATACGGCAATTTAATATCATAGACATTCACGATTTCATAGATACCTACCTACCTATTCTTGGGTTGGGTTATTGAAATAAAGTTTGAATTGATCTCGTATTCTAGATGCTTGAATCGTAGCTCGATTATTCCGTCTTGACCTGCGTACGCTATTGTGACTATTTGAGTCTTCAAACTGGGAAAAAAACTGCTGGAAATCTTCATCTCTGTCTCCGTCTCTTTCTCTTATAATATTGTGTAACAGGCACGAAGCCTTTATAATCAATATTGCGTGCTTTTTGTCTGCCTCTATACTTTTCGTAAAAATACGAAATTTATTTGTTAGAATACCAAATGCGCACTCAATTGTGACTCTTGCCCGGGATAATCTTTTGTTGAAAATTCTTTTTTCCGTATTTAAACCACCGGAGGGATATGGGCGCATCAAATAATTTTTAAGAGGGTAGGCTTCATCGCCAATTAACACGTACGGCAAATTCAGATTTGAACCAGGTAATCTTTGTGACGGTGGAACGTTGAATCTATTTTCTGTTAATAATCTATTTAATCGTGAAAAATGAAAAGTGCCTCCATCACTTTGTTTGCCTTTCCCGCCAACTTCTACAATAATAAACTTGTAGTCTGCATCTGACACTCCTTGTAGCACTAATGAAAAAAAATGTTTATAATTATAATATGCACTTCCACTATTGGGTGGATTTTTTATGCGGAAATGTTTGCCGTCTATCGCACCCAAACAGTTAGGAAATTGCCATCTTGAAAAAAATAAATTTGCTACACTTTTTAACTTATCACAGGTTGGCTGCGGCATATGTATTTGGGCCAAATTTTTCCAAATAGCTTCTAGAGTTTGATAAATTACTTTGGCAACTGTACTTCGTCCTAATCGGTAAGATTGAGCCAGAGACCTAAATGATCCACCGTGACCAAGAAATCTGAAATAAAAAAGCACTTATTAATGACCTAGCTTTTCCAAAATGTTTACTAAATGTAGGTAATATTATAATACTAAATTTTAATGTGTTATTACGTCTAGCTATCCATCCGTCCATCCATAATACATCTTTATATTTTATGCATTACTAGTAATGAGGTTATGAGTTAATGATGGGACTATCGCAAATAAAAAAATCTGTTATTCCATAAAAATCCAATATTGGTAATTACTTTTAATTTTCAGATGACAGTTTAAAGAAAAAATGGAAGAACCTAAAAGACGGCTACCGGAAAGAACTCAAAAAAGTACCTATGTTAAGGTCTGGAGATGAAGGTTCAGATTATAAGTCTCAGTGGAAGTATTTTGAACAATTATCATTTTTGAAAGACGAATATTTGCCCACCGTGGGAGAGACTAACTTAATAGATGAAGATACATCAACTCAAGATCTAACAG